GGTAGATTGCTGGCTGACCCCAACTTCCTGAGTTAAGACAGTTTGCAATGGGCCTTGTTTATCGGGTATTGTCCTATGCCTATGAGCTCAAAGACTCCAGGTTATCGAGAAGCATGACTTCCGAAGCCCTATGACTATATGATATGTTCCAGAGCGGATCTACGATATATCCGGAGATCTAGGCATAGAGGCAAGCCACAGATCGAGTCTCCATCAAGATCTAATCTACCTGCATGATGATGTGGCCCCCTTGTCATCTCTGCACAGCCACTCCGCATTCGAAGATCGTACGATCCGGACCTTTTAAGCTTTTATTCTGAAAATGGACCACTCTAGTTTCACTTGCTCGCCAGCATTATCCTTAGACTTTTCAAGACAGCATGTAGTTGCGTCAGGGCAATCTCTATGTTCTTGATAATAATATGCGCCTCAAATTCTTAATATTTCTTCAGTCCTTTGGTCTGCACTTTACAAAGCTTCTTATTGTTCAAATTCCCAATCATCTAAACATATTTTGCCGATACTTAGGTACTCGTCTCATTTCTCGTTACTATCAACGCTACACCTTTTCTTCTCTCCTTGCAGAACAAATATGGAGCTCCCAGCATGAGAAGAAACAGAGCCCCGAGGAATCATGAACTGAAGGGGCTCAGAATTGATCAATGTGGTCTGCTGAGGTGTAGGGTTGAAAGGATGTCAAGAGAAGCTTCAAGTCTGAGCTTTGTAAAGGCATATTTTTGCTTCCATACCTATCTATGGCATATCTGTATAAGGTTGGCTCTTGAGTACTAATGACAAGTGCTATGTACTAAACTCTCGACACCATATTACGAAGTGCGTCTGTCATCTTTCCTCTGTCTCAGTGTTCCTCCTTCCACTCACGCAATATTCTCGCATTTTCTGTGCAGCCCGTCAGCTTCGCCAACATCTCTGCGTCGGCAACATTCTGTGTAGTCTCAACTTTGGGCTGAGCTCCCCTCTCAAGTAGCCACCTCACTACATGAGCTCCGTTCTCCTTTACGGCAGCATAGCATAGAGGAGTTCCCCAATGGTAAGCACGATATGGTACAGTCGAGTCCATTGAGTTGATGTCCAGTTTCATCTCATCCACAAGAAACATCAACATTTCTGCTCGCTCCTTTCTTGTTCTGGCTTCATCTCCAACTATCTCATCATGGACTTCTTGACAAGTGAAAGGGTCTGCACCGACTGTTGCTGCCTCTCCGGCTGCTCGGTGAAGCGTCCGGTGGCCCAGCAATGCCCCCTTGCTATGTAGGAACCGGAACGTTGCAACAGAGCCTCTGACAGCACACGTCTCTAGTAATGGAGCTGGCTGTGGGAAGAGCTCATAGAGGTCCACCTCGCCATATGTGACCCGTGCGCCATGCTCAACCAACCAGCGAACCAACTGGTAATCGTCGCAGACGAGGTCGATTAGCTTATCGCCCCGCTTAAGGGATCTGCCAGCGTCAGCCTTGTTGAGATCCCAGCCATGGGCCACAAGCAGCTCGACAAGGAGGATGGAGGAGTTTGCGGCGACAGCAAGAGGCGATAAGGACTCAACAGGTGCCCTTTCACACTCTAGAAGATATCTCACCAGGTCGATGCATCCGTGGCGGACACACCGTCCCAGTATTGATGGAAGCAATTCTTGAAGAGAAGAAAAGAGTTGAGAGTCAGCTTTGATCATCTCCATGGCGACGATGAGCTGCGATAAAGATCTTTCCCGGATTGCCATATTAAGCATGCGACGGGGATTTGGAGACTGCATTGCCTCACTTGTTTAAGAGATGGCACAATAATGAATGGTATGGCGGCAATGGTTTTGTGTATTCAAGTAAGTTCATCGATAGAAGATGCCGATTTCCTGTTCTCTTCTTTGACCTCACTTATAACTAACTCCACGATGCTTTCGTCTCCAATGAGGAACTGAGCTATGAGAGAAAACTCAATACAACTCACAAAGGCTATAGATCTCATGCCAAGTACCGGGATAATCAGAAATTTATGCAAGCTGTCAAACCTGAAACAGGGTTAAAGCTTAATTGTTTTCCCGTCGTTCCATTTTATCTGATTCTGCCTTCATTGCATCAACTGTTCTAGCTATTTCAAGCAGGTCATACTGTCGGTCCGACATTTATACTTCAAATACCCATTATACGTACATCAGCCTGGTAAGGTACTGTTTGGGACTCATACTGTCTACGCGTCTACGCCTAAGAACAAGCATAGCTACAGCCTCCACCGAATTCTACTATTGATCGAAGTAGAGGGGCATACCCGATTTCGAGTGTTAATAACAGGCTACCGTGCTGCCTCCTCATATAGAGTACAAACAACTCCGTGCGCTTTTCTGTTTGCCTTACTCATAACGAACTTAATATCTCGCTTATGTTTAATAAAAACAATTGCTAACAGCAAAAATCTGGACTAGTATCAACTTGCGGCGCAAGGGCTTGGCCACAGAGAAAAGATGAGGTTCTTGTTGAAAATATTCAAGACATCTCGTTCAAAATTACGTGAAATGAGGTTTATGCCATCCATACTTCGTAAGGGCACTTCTTTGCACGGAATTTACCGACAGACTTTATTGGGCAAATTTTATTCCGACCACCACCAAATGTTGAAACAGAGATATGTCTGTGCTCGCCCTGTATAACCCCAAGCCTGTCCAGCTGACGCACCCATGGATAGCATGAATCTGCATTTTGCTTCGAAATATTCTTGGCACATGGCAGGGATCAACGTAGATTGGTCCAACGTCTTCGTATAGTCTCCCAATGGAGTTGCAGAGTAGGAGAAGTCGGCTTCACCGAACAGGATCCCCTTGAATGTCAGAATAGAGTTGAGCTCGACTTCGGCATCAGGGAGCAAGAACATCTATCATAAGTGACAAAATGATTTAGTTAGACCCAGTGTAGACTTTACGAGCTTCTATATTGGTTGTTTTTGTCATTTGGGGATATATCACATAGATCCTAAGCTCTCTTGGACACCCTAGTTCGGCAGTTGGAAACTTCTGTATCCTATGGCTTGCCTAGTACCATAGCCTTCATGGCAAACTCTGGTCTATATATTGTAGGCAATAGTCCTCAAATTCGAGATTTATCAGCAGTCATTCTTTCATTACAACATTCTTCACTCGTTTCTCTTAACTCTCACTCTCCTTTACTTTCACCTTCACTTTCACTTAGGCACCTTCATCATGGTCCGCCTCGCCACTCTTTTCCTCTCTTTGGCTTGCTCTGCCTTGGCCTCTCCCTTTGTGAAGCCATCCGATTCATCTTTGTCTGATGTCAGTGACGTTGGATTTGCCGTTCATGAGAGGGCTATCTCGAAGGCAATCACGAAGCCCGCCATTGTCTGTGACCTGACTTGCAAAGCCTGCTTAGCCAAACCAGCCCCAAAGAAAGGCAAGGACGCAGGCAAAGGCAAGACCACTGGTAAGGGCAGAGGTAAAGGCAAGGGCAAGGGCAAGCCTATTCCTCGCTCTCTGGTGCTTGGGGAGAGATCTTTGGATGACATCGAGGACCGTTGGGGTACCGATGCAACCGCGGCGAACGAATATGTCATGGAGCAGATTGACAGTGACACTGGAAGTGTCAACGAGTTGGACTGGAACCTAATTCAGCATGACGCTGTCTCAAGCCATGGATCTTGGGCTGAAAAGCCGTTGCGAAAGTATATCCGGGGTCTTATGGGGTAAGTGATGCACCAAGTTTATGATAAAATGATCATAAACTAGTCTGAATATCTTCATTACTTAGGATCATATCCTAATGCCAACTGTCGGAGTTACTTTACTTACATGATTTTAGCTGCACTGGCATCATCATCGTCTCTGACAAGGGTTACTGGTTCGCTCATTTTGTAAGTCATTTCTTAACTGGATATCTTCCTCGAGTTCAAGATACTAATTATTATAGATGGAAACTGGCTTCCTCAATCGCGGCGACAACTGGGAGAAAAAGATCATCAAGCCTCTCCAGCAGGGTACCAACAAGTTCACCACCCCCAGGTCTCTGGCCGGCCCTGGTGGCATTCTGAACAGGGCAAACAACGTCAAGATCTACGTCTCAACCCCCCGCACCAAGACATCCACCGAGCAAAGCCCAGTCCTCTTGTACAAGGCCAAGGTCGATGAGCTTCTGTCTAATATCACTGGACGAGGCGAGTCTTTGAACGATGTTCAGGTCATTACCCGCGGTTATCTCAAGCCCGAGAGTGAGGCAGAGGTTGAGGCGTTCCACAACAGAGCCAATGGAAAGGTCCTTATCGAGTACGACAACAACCAACTGGATGTCAACGGAAACCAGCCCAACCCTAGAGAGCGCATGTACCGTGTCTGGCTTGAGCACAAGTACTACGAGCACAGATTCCGCTAAAGGGATGTATTTAGATAAAGGAGGGGGTTTTGCTTCGTTCGACGATTTTCCCCCTTGTCTATCTTTGGGGCGCCAAAATTAACTAGTCTACTGAACCCGTACTGAATTTAATAAGTGTATACTAAAACTTGCCCCGTTCTACAGTGAATGTGTCCAAGCCTTTTTTTCATGTAAGACAAACTCATCTAGTCTAGTAAACATCCGTGTCCTCCACTAAATTTGGGTATGAGCAGCTGTTCTTTCCGGCCAGATGATTGATCATATAGGTGCCGTTTGTAACTGGAAATACTTGCCGCTGTCAACTCGACCAAGGCACAATGCTGGCTTGGACATGAGATAGTTCTCTCCACACTGCGATTCAATTTTAACTCGCTCATAGGTCATTGATCCATTGACTGGCAAGTCGTAGGGGTTTGGCGATATTTTCAGAAACCCTGTAAATCGAGCCAGGGATGTTGTTGTGCCCCCAATCAGAACCCGCCGATTTTCAGCTACGCTAAGATTGTTGCCACGACAACGCCAAGTCAACAACACCAACTCCAGCAACAGATCAAGCAATTGAACATGATTCAACAATTACGACAGCATAACCACTCGCGATCGTGCGCAAAGACAATGTCACTAGAGAATCGGATACAGCTCTGGCTGCAACGGATCCAAACAGGCTCGCCATCTACTCCTCAGACCAGACAAGGTCCAAAGCGCCGTCGCTTAAACCTCCCTTCCCCAGAAGCCTCGCAAAGTGACAACAGTATGGCTAGTCCCAAGAAGCACACTCTCACCGACCATGACGATGAATTCGAAACCCCTCGTATCTCGCCTCATCAGGCGTTGGAATCCTTCCTTCGTCTCAACGTTCCGTATACGGGGAATTCAAGTGGGCCAGACAGCCCATTCTAAGCAAATTCCTCTTTTCAGACGATCGTGACAATCTTGGGCATACGCCAACGCCTGAAGCTATACAGTGGATTCTTCACGAGGCTGCCTATTGCAATAGTAGAAGTTGTTCGGAGGCAGATTGGAACGTTGAAGTTCATCATCGTGTTCTTTCTGCTGCTCTGAGACCGTTGCAGGGTCCGAGGAGTGACCAGTTCTTTGACTTCCGACTTAGGTGAGCACATCCACTCGAGGAAACTTTGCAACTTCTGACTGTCTTAGTACAACCGCTTCAATCATCACCGCGTATCATGTGACGTCAGCGTCTAAGAAAGTTGACTTTTGCATGTATCTCGATCCCAAACAGGATGAGTCTGCCCAGGATTCGGAGACCATTGGCGCCCTAAAGGATATCCTCCCTCTCGGCATGTTCAATCACACAAATTTAGCCCCCCTCTCCGACAATCCCATCGCCGTCAGCATCGAAATCAAGAAGACAGGCGAAGGCTGGGAGAACGCCAGGCTTCAGATGGAAGTCTGGATGGCGGCCCACTGGCAGTTCCACCGACAATTAGTCTCGTTGCGACAACGTGCACAAGAGCTCACAACTGCCAACGAGAAGGTATGGAACTTGCCAGATTTCATACCTGGCATTATCATCCAAGGACACGATTGGCATCTTATCATCACAACGCCGGAGGGAGAGAAGACAGTTTTCTGGCAGAAGAAGAATCTTGGAGATACATCGAGCTCAATGGGGATTTACAAGATTATATACAATTTGCAGCTGTTACGGCAATGGGCACAAGAGGAATATTGGAAATGGATGAGAGAGTTGTTACTGGACTGGCCACGAAATGGTGGGGAATTGGTTGTTTGAGTAATTGTGGATTTGGAAGCAAGCGTGACGAGTGATATTTGATATGATACCCTATTATAATGATTCACGGAAACTATGCCAAGCGTCTACATTGTTGATAGAGTGACCTGGCTTGACAAATCTATCTTCTTGTTTACCCGTCATCTGTCCACGCAACACATTAGAATATTTCCCAATGTTAAAACAGCATGCCACGGTCCAGAAATTCACCCTGACCTCAGCTCCGCCATTATTGATCTTTAGGCATCTAATAAACGAAGAACGAACTGGAACCTCAAGCTAAGCTGTGATGCTTTGGTCATCTGGACATCGCCATGCCAGTCCATCATAGCCGAAATTCGGATTGAAAAGCACCCTAATGACCTCGGGAGGGAACCCATTCAGAGACTGTCCAATCGGTGCTACTGATGAATCAAGAACATCAAGTCTCAGAACGAGGCCCTCTGATGCAAGTGCTCATTAATATCTATATAATGTGAACTGAGACTGCAGTCGCCTAGCCTGGTGGAAATGAGACTTGATCAGTCAGAGCAGAAGAAAGTATCAGCCTATATCGGTTGCATCCAGAAGAGGAACACTCTGAAGTAAAAGAAGAGTTCACCGGGCCCTGTATCAGCCAGAGGCGTGTATTATGGAAAGCAAACTTGTACGGCCGCAAATTCGATGAATTTTCCTGTACTTAGACGCATCATGCACCTGTCACGCGATTCGTGTCAAAAACACATTGCCAAGTCGCAGGGTCCTGTCGGCAGTTGCCCTTGGCGCGTCCCATACTGCTGGGACCATCTGACGGCCCTGTAGATCTTCCAGCGTATAGTCTGTGGCCTATATGATCAGCAATTTGAAACAGTGCTCTTCAAGATCTCGAGAAACATGAGGTTTCTGTATCATCTCTCTGTTCACATAACCATCTAGAGCTTTGGAGCTTCCGGATACATATCTAGTCTCCGAACCCAGAATCGGATATCACCGCTGCCCCCAAAGTATCTCTGGTATCCAAGCTTGTTGCGGTCTGAGTAACCTTAAAGCTTAAGAAGGAGAGACTTTGTTTATTCATTCAAGCCTAGAACACTGCAGGGTCATGGTCAGATACAACACGACGATCGCTGGCCTCTCGTAGGTGCAAAATTATTCCTCACGGCTACACGGCTTTTAACCACGAGGGTCTGACGTTACTACATTCCATTATGCCCGTGGAAGATCCGCATCGAAACTCAAAGTCGTTCATATTCCAGGTAAGCTTAATTGGTGGACACGTCACTAAAAACAAGCATGATCGAAATTCCACCAATCTCGCCCCGTCACTTTCATCCAGCCTTACTAGTTTCATCTTCCCCATGCTTATATTGGGGGTAGTATCTCCATTACCCCAGACTTCGGGTCGTCGTGCAGCTGATCATATCGAGCAAGTCGAGCAGAAAATCAGGTCATTTGATTGGTCTCCGCAAACAACGAGTCGTGACGGAGAATTATGACTTTTAATTCCTCGAATGAGAATTGAGTCTGGTTCGAGATGTAACATTGAACGGAGTTTCACTTCGGTGACTAGCTTGCCGTTTTCGGACTCGAGGGTGATTATACGATGCTAATTGGTGCAATGCGCGAAAAACAGGTGCAGGGGCTTTAGAACAAAGGGGAAGATTGATTGAAACCGATATATCAAGGGGAAATGACATATAATGTTGATAAATATATAAAGGATGAGAGATCCAGGGAGCCAAGAGACTTGTTTATTCAGCATCACAACTCCAGCCTTGACTAGATACATCTTCGGGATAACCTCAACGAATTCATCATGAAGTACACTGCCATCCTCGCCCTTGCTGGCGTCTCCTCCGCCGCTGTCACCAAGACTCTCCCCAAGTCTGCTGGTGCGACTTCATTCCCTACTGCTGTTCCTGTCAAGGGTAGCTACGATGGTGGCATGAAGCGATTCGAGCGAAGCCGTAAGCCTCTTTATACATTGTCTCCAGAACCTCTGACTAACACTCTGTCCTAGCCTCTGTTTGCCAAGGCCAGACTGAAACTGGTGAGAAGGATGCTATGTTCATTCTCGAGAACGGCGCCACTCTTTCCAACGTGATCATCGGCGCATCTCAGGCCGAAGGTGTCCACTGCAAGGGTACTTGGTGAGCAAGTTTCTCTCGACTCACCGTTTCTCATGCTGATTTTTACTTTAGCACCCTGAACAACGTCTGGTGGGCCGATGTCTGTGAGGATGCCATCACCCTCAAGCAGACCAGTGGAACTTCTTACATCAACGGTGGCGGTGCTTTCCATGCTAGCGACAAGATCGTCCAGTTCAACGGCCGCGGAACCGTCCAGATCAAGGATTTCTACGCCGAGGACTACGGAAAGCTCGTCCGCAGCTGCGGAAACTGCAAGGATAACGGCGGCCCTCGAAACGTTATCATCCAGGGCTCTGTTGCCGTCGACGGTGGTGTCCTCTGCGGCATTAATACCAACTATGGAGACACCTGCAAGATCACCAGCTCGTGCCAGAACAAGGGCAAGTACTGTGACCGCTACGAGGGTAACTCGAGCGGCGCTGAGCCTTCCAAGATTGGATCTGGCCCTGATGGCAAGTACTGCACTACTTCTGGAGTTACCACGAGCTGCTAGACGATTGACGAAATGTTATGAGAGACGGACGGAATGATGGTTTACTTCTTGCTAAGAGTTTATGTACCTAAGCTTTATGTCTGTATATATTGTGAGTTTAGCACATGGCTCGCCCCAATATCAATTGCAGCTTACTTTATGCAGAGTTGTTGAGTTTCGTGTTGAACTACGTGAAAGCCTCACCGCTCCATCGAAACTATGAATTATCTCATACGAGTCAGTGTTACAAAAGTTCATTGTCGTCACTTGATGCCTTCAACTTACACCAAGCCAAATGGACATGTATATCCGGAACGGCTCACTCGGAGGACTGCCCGGCAAATGAGCTCGGATATTCACGTAGCCCTTAAAACATAGTGCTCACAACAATTCAGCCCAACCTGCGGAGCCAAGCCGTTAGCCTTACGCCTCTTCAATTGGTCAAACCAGACTAAGGACGGACTAGTTGCTTAATTGGCATGTCGACCGAAACCTGACGTGATGGCAATTGTCAAAGCTTCCCCATGTCAACAGTTCTAGACCATTGAGAGAATGAGTTAATGTTTCCATGACTGCCGATGACCCGGCATATGGTGACATACTAAGGATGGTCATCTTATAAGGTTCCGGATAGATCTCCGTTTATCGTTAGTTGTCCCGCGAAATGGATATGTTTTCAATATATTCTTGACACTTATTAGCAAATTGCGACCTCGCCCATTGAAACAGGGAGGAAGCTAAGATGATCTACGTCGGAACTTTTTCCTAGCCTCTTGCAACCCTAACGATTGCCTTCCATTTCTCGGCAGCAAAATATCCCTGCAGTGTATCAGTTGACGATGGTTTCAAGTATCATCAATTGCTTGTGACTGGCACTTTTGAAAATCAAAGGACCCTGCTACCCTGATATCTTTGATTCCTGCTTGATTGAACCTGTCAAGACCTTTTGATTGAGCTATCAAGCTTATTCAGGGGAATTGTTGAAACCAACTCCCTGACTCGGAAATAGATCGCCACGCGTCGTCTCGATTGGCTGACACCCTCGGGCGATATCGTTTCAAGAAAGATTAGTGCCCCAGAGAGCAGCTCTCGACTTCAATTGGCTTGCCCATCAATCTGCTAATTGGCACCCCCACTGCGCTGGCGGTAACCAATTCACCAGTCAAAACACAAAACAAGGCACAGAATAAGGAGCCTCATTAATTATGCACTCCTTTCATCTCGTGGCGAATGGTGCTCTAAATTCTTGGACCAAGGCATCGCACGTTTCGGTTGGCTAAGTCGCTTATGGTTAATTCTCATGCTATACCTCACCAGGCACGCGATGCCTGGGATCGTCGCTCGCTTTAGGCAGGTAGTGGTTGCGGCCGGGGTCGACTATCTCGAACGATGACGATCATCGTGGCACATGTTTGACACGATAGGTTGCGTGCCGAAAGACTACCAACCCAGCATCCGATCAAGGAACATGGCTCCAAGTTGAGGTGGCCGTTAACAACTAAAGGAGAGACAGCTTCAAGATAAATAGAAGCCTCTGTCTCTATCAATATCTTGTTCTCATCAAGCAACTCAGCTCTTCAGTCTTTACACCTACATTCACTCAACACCACTCTTTACAACTTACTTCATTCTTTAAGTTCTCCAACTTACAACAATCTTTCTTCAAAATGCGATCTGCTACTCTTCTCGCTCTTCTCCCCTTTGCGCTGGCCGCTCCCTCTGCTCCCTCCCGCCGGGCCGAGCCCGCTCCCATTCTTCGCCCTCGCGGTGTCAAGCTTGTCGATGGCAAGTACATCGTCAAGATGAAGAAGGGCTTCCAGGCTTCTTCCATCGAGAGCTGGGTTGACAAGATGATCGAGTCCATCGAGGCTGATGCCGATTACACCTACTCCAAGGGCTTCGGCGGTTTCGCGGCCAGCCTCAAGGATGATGAGCTCAACAAGCTGAAGCACGACCCCAATGTCAGTGACTTCTGACTCATATGGATACAACCACAAAAGATCCCAGCTAACAAGGTTTAGGTCGAGTACATTGAGCAGGATGCTTATGTTACCATCACGGCTACTACTCAGCAGAGCAATGCTCCTTGGGGTATTGCTCGCGTCTCCACCCAGAGCCCTGGTGGCAGCACTTACTCCTACGACGACAGCGCTGGTGAGGGTACTTGCGCCTATGTCATCGACACCGGTATTGATGTCGACCATCCCGTAAGTCTGAACAGATTCTAGAGATGAAACAGTATAACCTAACACAATTGCAGGACTTCGATGGTCGCGCCAAGTTCCTCAAGAACTTTGCTGGTGGTTCCGACAGCGATGGACAAGGCCACGGCACTCACGTTGCTGGTACCATTGGTTCTACCACCTATGGTGTAGCCAAGAAGACCAGCCTCTTCGCTG